TTTAATAGCCTTTCTAAAATGCAATAATGTTTGGTTTTTTTGTAAAAAAAAAAAAAAAAAAAAAAATAAAGGAAAAATTGAAAAGAATAATCCCATCTTTCGCCCATCTGCTCAAAATAATCCCACCTTTTTGAATTCCGGAAATAATCCCACCTTAACACCCCATCTGCTCAAAATGAACCTTTTTACCTACAACCATTTCAACAGGTAAATTTTTTGTTTTTTTTTAATAAATAAAACAAAGGAAAAAGAAAAAAAAAAGAAAAAAAAAAATCCCAAACCCCCTAACCCACCCCACCCCACCATTGGCACCGCCTATCCCCCACCATTTTCCACCTCCCCGTCTTCATTCAATAACCACCATGACCATCACCAATTCACCACTAAACTAACCACCTTCCCAGTTCCCACCATCACCACAATCCCACGATGCAAGCCCAGCCCTGCCACCTGAGCCACGCCCACCTAAGATGCAGCGCCGTCCCGCCACGCCACCTGAGCCAAGCCCACCTAACCCAAGATTTCAACCGCCATTGATTCCGTTTTGTCAAGCTCCGAGGTTTAATCCCCACCCCAAATTGTTTGAGAAGGGGCTGCCATGTCCAATTCCCCTCTTAATCTTCTAATCGAAACCCACCCGAACTAGAAACTTCGTTCGAATCGGAGTTTCTCGGCAACCATGTCCATGTCCGGCCAGAACTCGATCAACGCTGCCATGGGCCCGACGACGAATTACTTCACACAACGCTGCCATAGGAATCGGGGAAGGGGAAGTGGAAGGAGAAGGGAGAAGGGGAGGGAATCTGAGAAGGGGAAGTGGAAGGGGGAACGGAGAAGGGGAGGGAATCGGGAGAAGGGGATGGAATCAAGGAAGGTGGCTGGTTCGGCTATTCTACCGGCGGTACGGTTGGTCTAGCTTTTCCGGCGTCAGGGGGTTGTGATGGTGGTGATAAAGAGGTGGCGGCAGGGGGTTGTAATGGTGGCGATGGTGGCGATGAATAGGGTGGTCGTGGGGCTGGGAGTTTTTTTATTTTTTATTTTTAATTGTTTTGTTTTTTTTTAATTATTTAAAATTAGGACCAATTAGAAGGTGACAAATGTCAAGTCACCTTCTAAAACAGGTTACTAATTTCATAAATCGATAAAAGGTTCTTTTTGGGAAGATGAAGTTACAAGGTGGAATTATTTTTGGAATTCGACAAGATGGGATTATTTTGAGCAGATGGGCGAAAGGTGAGATTATTCTTTTCAATTTTTCCAAAAAAAAAAAAGGAAAACTGTTTAATATTTGTTGTTGGGTGTTAAATATGTAAATATTTTCCTTGACTAATTTCATTAACCAAGTCAAATTATATACAATGTACAAGCCTAATCCATAGACGTAACTAGAGGCACATATTTAGTAACTAAATATATCCTTTGACTGGAGAATATATATAATATGCAAAATATTTACATATTTATTGCGTTTGATTTGTTTATTTCCTCATCATCATGCTTATTAAATTTGATTTTGAAATTTGGCTTTATGAAGATGATATTTGTTGGTCAATTAAATTAGCGATTTAACAACTCTAGTCGGGTCAATCCGGATTAAGGTCGTAATTTATGTAGGTCGGATTCGGGTTGGGTCATGCTTGAGTCGGATCACATTAAGTCATACATCTTATCAGTTTTGGGTCAGGTTTAGGTCAAGTCAATAATAGGTTGGGTTACATTCGGTGCGGGTGAATAATAGGTTGGGTTTAATTCAGGTTTTCACGGGTTAAAATGAGTTAGGGTCATTCTAGGGTATGAGTCGGGTTCGGTTGAAGTCAATAATTTGCAGGTAATTCTTAGGTCGATATGTTCGAGTTGGGTTCGATTGAAGTAAAAATTTTGCGGGTTATAATTAAGTTGGGTCATTTCCACGTCTAGTCATTCTCGAGTTCAAATCAAGTTCAGTTGAAGTCAATAATTTGCATATTATAATCAAGTCGATCGAGCCATACTCGGATTCGAGTTGAGTTCAATTCAAATAAAAAATTTGCAGAATCTAATCAGGTCGGGTCATTTCTAAGTCAGGCCGTGTTCGGGTTCGTGTTTCAAATACTGGGTTAATCTTGGTTGGGTCGATTTCAGGTTAAGTCATATCGAGTTCGGGTACATTTTTCAGGTCAATTTGTTAACAATTCATGTAATGACGTTTACGTATAACCATTATCAATTTCTTCATTTATTGTAAGAGAAATAATCTAATCAGGTCGGGTTAATAACAGGTCGGTTTAAATTCGGGTCGGTTTTGTAATAAGTCGGGTTAAATTCGGGGTGGGTTAGTAATGGGTTGGGTTACATTCGAGTTTGACGGGTTAAACGGGTTTAGGTCAATTTCGATTCAGGTCGGTTTTGGTTCAGGTCAATATTTCATGGGTTATATTCAAGTCATGTCATCTCCAGGTCAGTTGATGTTCGGTTCGGGTCTCAAATTCTCGGATTCACTAGGGTCTAGAGTTGGTTTCGGGTACCATTTTTTTGGGTTCAAACGAATCGCTTAATGACTGGATTCAGGTCGATTTTTCAGGTCGAGTCAGCTTTGATAGGTCTAGATACATCGAGAATTTTATTAACATGTAGCATATTTATGGAATTTTGTTCTCTTCTTAGATTATCCATGGAAATCACTCTTTAGCACTCCCCTCCGTCCCTACATTACATTCCTTTTTTCCTCTATTATGTGAGGAATAAATACTATAAATAGGAATGTAATTTAGAGACGGAGGGAGTAACTAATAACTTGGTAATCACTTCTATAAAAATATTAGAGTACTACTAACCTTTTTTTTTTGTTGCTATTTATGTTTTATTAAAGACTATTTGCATCCACTATTTTAAATTTTTAAGTATATACTCTGTAATTTTTTAATCCTATATTTAATTATAACATTTTTTAATCCTATCTTTAATTATAACACGTGCATTAGCACGTGTACATTCTAATTAAGCAAAAAAAACATGTAAAAATATGTAATGGTAATTTTTTCATAAACGTTGTATTAATATTAAATTCCTCAATGTAAATATCATCTAGTAAGTGAAATAGTATGATCTTTAACAATTTGTTTGGATGCAGAGAAATGGAGGGAAGGGGAGGGAAAGGAAGGGATGAATTTTCCTCCTTTTGAATAGCAAAGATGGGAGGTGAGGGAATTGGGAGGAAGAGAAATGGGAGGAAATAATTTCCTTCTACAATTAAGAAACAAATCTTTCCAAAGTAGAGAAGATTTGGAAGGAAAACTGAACAAATCTCTCCAGCACCGACCCTAAACATGCTGTTTGTAGCCTCCACCACATCAATTGCCGCCATATCCAAAATTGAGTTATGGTTCTTCAAAAATCAATTTTCTGAAAAAAAAAAGGTTTTAACAAACGAAAATCAATTTTTAGAAAATGTGTTCTTCTTTCTCTATAACTAATTTGTTTTGATTTTCGAAAATCAATTTTCAGAAATTTTGGTTTTAATTTTCAAAAATCAATTTTCTGAAAATTTTGTTGGAAAATCGACTGGGAAATGATTTACAGGTTTTTTGTTTTTGGAAAATTTATTGTAAGAATTTATATTTCCAAATTTTATATTTTGAAATTTTGATATGTGAAATTTTTATTTCGAAAAATTGAGAATTTCAATTCATACTATCTCAAGAACAAAATCATTAGTTCAGCCATGGGTAAAATTAACAAGAACAAGCAAATTCCCTCACTTTCTCTTCTTTCATTTACTCTGCTATCCAAATGAGGGATTTGGTTTTCTTCACCCCTCCCCTTCCTTCATCTTCCTTCCCCTCCCTTTCCTTCCAAAAGTTCTATCCAAACACAGCGTAAATGATTAGGGGCATGGAATGCAAATCACTGCTGAAGCAGTGAAGCCTATTCACTTTTCTGCTACACACGCCTTGCTATCCCTGATGATCATTGCTCAATTCCAACAAATTCCCTGCTGCGAGTCTGCGACCAACATTGCAGTTCGCATGAATTATAGAATTTGGAATAACATATGACTGTATGTAGCAAATTCTACTTTGGCCGGGGAACCAAAATTGTTAATGCGTTAAACTACATAGTATGATCTAGGAATATTAATGCTATATCTATTTAAATTACATAGTATGATCTAGAAATATGCTATATCTATTTAAATTACATGGTAATCTTATGATCTAAGAATATGCAATTTCTACTTTCAGGGGAACCGAAATTATTTATGCGTTAAATTACATTATAATTGCACTTGAAGGGGTAAGCAATGCTTGAAGTCGTCAGAACTTAACAACAAGCTGTCAAATTTCAGGGGAAAAATAGCCTTTTTTGGTATTTAAAGGATTCATCTCTGCATGAATGTAATAGCAGTAAGTACACTACACTGTAAAAAGAAATCAACAATGGAAGATTACAGAAACCACCAGATTTCTTTCATATTTTTGTAAGAAAAACTTCCTTATCCAACCAATGAGGGATCCCCAAAATATAAGTGCAAAAACAGGCTAGCTCACACATTTTGTTATTTACCTTTAAAGATAGTTTCACAGTTATTACACATACTAATGCAGAATCAATAGTACGCGTTCAGAAAAAGTGATCTCGAGTCTTAGATTCTTACGTTGAGCCAATGACAGAGTAAAAGCTTTCCTGATGAGGGACTAATTTTTGGCAAATTATGGGGACTAGTAGGGTTCAAAAATATTGTTAGAGATAAATCATAAAACAAATTTCTTTGATATTGTAAGGTATATGATTAACACAGCAGTATTACATCTAGAAACAAACGCATAACAGCTTGATACAATATTAGAGTGAAAATTAAATTAAATTAATGCAGCACTAATACTTGAAGTTTCAGGAAATACTTCAATGTAGACATGTAGTACAGACTGGATGTATCTTTAGAGAGTTCCGATAATGAAATAATTTTAATGATTACCTTTTATATATATATATATATATATATAATTGCAGCAGTAGGGTTAAGCTATGTTCAAAGTTGTTAGAATAAGCTGTCAAATGAGGTAATTTTTTTTTTTTTTTTACGGTGTTTAAGGCACCTTCATAGGTGTTTACGGTCTTCATTTCTTCATGAATTTTGATTGCACCAACATGGAATTGCAGAAAAAAAAAATATATCTAACAAAAATTCAATCTTGTTTGAAAAGTAAATGACTAACAAATTACTAACACAAATACATTGAAATAATTATCAGACTGTTGCATAATCTACCATTAAAGGAGTAGCACCAGAAACAACTGGATGCGCTGATGAGGAGGTTGTGGTGCCAGCAATACTGCTGCCTTTTAACACAGGGGAGGAAGCGACATAGAAAGGAGCTGACTGTACATATGTTGGCGGAGTGCAATAGGCGGGAGCCGAGAGGTTGGTAAGCAAGATAGACAAAGAAGACTCCTTGTTAAGAACATTTATAACCTTTCTTACAGTAGGACGTAAAGTGTCTTCAGGATGGCAACACGACAACCCAACAATCATCAAGCATTCCATTTCTTGAAGGTCAAATTCTCCTTCGAGTGTTTTATCAGCTGCATCAAGAAGACGGCCTTCTCCATAGAGCTGCAACACCCATTGTACCAGACTCACCTTACTAGGCTCTTCCTTGTGTTCAATAGCCCGCCTTCCACAAGCAATTTCAAGGGCCACCACCCCAAAACTGTATACGTCAGATTCTTTGCTGGATTTTCCTGTCATAACACACTCCGGGGCTAGGTAGCCTAAAGTACCAGCCAATACAGTTGTTTGTGATCCTAGACTGTGGTCCACGAGCCTAGCAAGCCCAAAATCTCCAAGCTTAGCATTGAAATTAGAATCAAGCATGACATTACTAGACTTGATATCTCTATGCAGCACACATTGCTCCCATTCTTCGTGGAGGTATAGCAAGGCAGATGCCAAGCCATATGCAATTTTGTACCTGTCTGCCCATGGTAAGACCGTCGTCCTCTTGCCTGCAAAAATATGGGAGTCAAGACTTCCATTAGGCATAAATTCATAAACAAGAAGCAATTCCTCTTTCTCATGGCACCAACCAAGAAGTTGAACCAAATTTTTATGCCTTAGACGACTGATAACCTTCACCTCTGATACATACTCCTTTTCCCCTTGTTTATACCCCTTTGATATCTTCTTGACTGCAATAATCCGGCTTATATCAGACAAAAAACCTTTATAAACGCCTCCAAAACCTCCCTGTCCTAACTTCCCTTCCTCGAGAAAGTTGCTAGTGGCACGAATAAGTTCACTGTATGCGAACCTCCTTGGCCCAGTATCCTGGTCAAAATTCATGTTGTCAATACTTCCCCTTGATCTCCTCCGCTCCCACATAAACACAAATGAGCCTAATCCAATTATTAAGACACTATTTCCAGCTACAATGCCACCAATCAGTGTTGCTTTGCTATTACTCTGGCTGCTTGTCACAGTTGTGTGATTTTGCCATGGTACACTGATATCGGTATCTTCTAAGGTTGAGTTGAAGTCCCACCCCTACACCCAAATGATTTGCAACCGGTTAATCAGGTAAACATTGTTGACTTGTGATTAATTGCACACGTGTCGTATCATGATAGGCTTAAAAAAAAAACCACGCACAGACAGCACCCTCAATCGCCGAAACCCTAACCCCGACCCTTAGTTTCACCGGAAAACGGTCGGACAACCCCCGACTTCCACTAAAAACCACCGGCCTTCCTCCACCACCCATCCCAGACCCTGGAAACAACCTTAGCATAGTTGTTTTCGTGGCTAATTGACGGGGAAAGGGGGTGCCGCTTTCGTGGGAAGGGGGTGAAATTGAGGGTGAGGGAAGGGAAAGGGATGGATTTCGAGGGTGAGGGAGGGATGGGCGCCATTTTCTGGCAACGGGGGAGGGGTTTTCGGGGGTGGGGGAAGGAAAGGGGTGAATTTCGAGGGAAGGGGGAGTGCTGGGCGGCGGGGCGGCGGATCTGGGGTTTTTGAGGTGGTGTTCGATGCAAGGGAGGGGTTTTTGGGGGTGGGGGAGGGGTTTTCGGGGGTGGGGTGGCTGGGCGGCGGTTTCCGATGGCGAGGGAGGGGTTTTCGGGGAGGGGGCCGAAATTCCGGCGGGGTGGGGGTGGGGGTGTGTTGTTTTCCGGGAAAGGGTAGAGGGCTGGGTTTGGTAGTTTTTTTTTTAATTTTTGTTTTTATTTTTGTTTTTTTTTTTTTTTTAATATTTTTTGGACCTATCACGTGTTGACGTGTCTAGGTAACCTGCTACATCAGGTTGGCTGACCTGTTGGGTGCAATAGAAATTAATACCCTAAAGTTGGGAGTGATAGATAATAAACGAAAGTTGGGATTAATTTCGGCGGATGGGGCAAAGTTCAGATTAATGGGAGCAATTTTTCCTAAAAATAATACTCCCAATTCGAATTTTTGAATATCTTATCCGAATTCGGATTTTGGATCAAATATCCAATTTGAAAAACCGGATATCAAATCTTGATATTGTTTTCAAAATTTGGAATATTCCATATACTACCTCCGGTCCAAATTATTTGCAATTTTAGAATATTTTATATCTCACAAATAATACTCTAAAATTGCAAGTAATTTAGACCGGAGGTAGTAAGAGATTTGAAATATAAAAGTTGAAATACTCAAATGTATATAAACATTTAAAATGTCCTTATAAAACTCATCATGTGTTATAATACATACTTAATCTTATTACTATAATATTCTCAATATATTTGATGATAATTTTAATTGCCAAAAGACTACTATTTTGTTAAAATATGTTGTACATATGTGCGATAAAATTAGTGAAAGTTAAAAAATAGTCACAATCCATTTTATTACTTAATATTGAATAATACATATCTAAAACATCCGATCCGAAACAAATATCGGATATCCGAAATTTTTGAATCGGATTCGAGTATTAAAACTAAATGCACATTTCAATTCGGATATTCGTTTCATTCCATGAACAGGCCAGAAAGTACTGTTAGTGGAACAGAAAAATAAGTTAGTAGTAGGTCCTTACTCCTTACTAAATAAGGAAATATTGCAATTATTATTAAACGAATTTAAAATTAAGTGTTGCGATTTTTATGAAACAGGGAGAGTATTATTTTAACCCAAAAACATTGAAATATAACCCTCTTTCAAGAAAGGATGGAAGGAGCACTATTGTAGTTAGGGGTGTACAAAAACTGGTCCGGACCTGAAAACCGACCTGAACCGCACCTGTTAGGACCGGACCTGATCCGGGCTTGTAGATTCAGGTCCGGTCCCAGTCCTTGAAATTCAAGGATTTCAGGTTTCAGGACCGGTCCGGGTAAAACCCGGAATTTTAGACCTGAAACCGGTAAAGCTACTTTTTTATTTAATAAGTCTAAATATGTCCACAAATAGGTCCAAACAGGTCTAAACAGGTCCATAAATAGGTCTAGACAACAAGTTAATAAACAAGTCAACAGTTTTATATTATTTTTGAAAAAAAAAAACGAAAAAAAAATCAATAATCAGGTCTATTCATGACCAAACCCGAACCGGATCTGATTTTTCATGTCTGGACCGGAATCGGACCTGTTGATCCGTCTCCGGTCCTTAAAAATCAAGGATTCAGGTCCCTCTCCATGCAGGTCCGGGTCAGGTCCGGTCCGGTTTTGGACCGATGTACAACCCTAATCGTACTTAACCATGTCGCTTGTTGATTGAAAGGTCCTTAACCATGGGTGATGACATACATTTATGTACTTTTTTTTTTTTTTTTTTAGAGGAAATACATTTATGTACATAATGTCTTGGTTATTTTGTCTATTACATGAATGACCTTAAATTGTACTCATGTACAACATGTTTACTTGTCTCAAGCAAATGCAGGTTGCTGCTACTATTTTGTGAATTAATTAAAGCCTTTAATTACTTTATATAATTGCATCAGCAGGGATAAGCAATGTTCGAAGTTGTTAGAACTTAATATAACTATATAAGTTATCAAATGACGCAAAAACAAAGAATTAAAAAAAAAACACCTTGGGTGTACATTCTTCATTTCTTAATGAATATTAATTGCACATTTGCACCAACATGGAACTGCAAAAAGAAATCTGACAGAAATTTGATCTTGTTTGAAAAGTAAAAGATTAACAAATTACTAACTCAAAATACATTGAAATAAATACCACTGTTGAATAATATCAGACTGTTGCATAATCTACCATCAAAGGAGTAGCACCAGAAACAACTAGATGAGCTGATGAGGAGGTTGTGGTGCCAGCAATACTGCTGCCTTTTAACACAGGGGAGGAAGCGACATAGAAAGGAGCTGACTGTACATATGTTGGCGGAGTACTATAGGTGGAAGTTGAGAGGTTGGTAAGCAAGATAGACAAAGAAGACTCCTTGTTAAGAACATTTATAACCTTTCTTACAGTAGGACGTAAAGTGTCTTCAGGATGGCAACACGACAACCCAACAATCATCAAGCATTCCATTTCTTGAAGGTCAAATTCTCCTTCGAGTGTTTTATCAGCTGCATCAAGAAGACGGCCTTCTCCATAGAGCTGCAACACCCATTGTACCAGACTCACCTTACTAGGCTCTTCCTTGTGTTCAATAGCCCGCCTTCCACAAGCAATTTCAAGGGCCACCACCCCAAAACTGTATACGTCAGATTCTTTGCTGGATTTTCCTGTTATAACACACTCCGGGGCTAGGTAGCCTAAAGTACCAGCCAATACAGTTGTTTGTGATCCTAGACTGTGGTCCACGAGCCTAGCAAGCCCAAAATCTCCAAGCTTAGCATTGAAATTAGAATCAAGCATGACATTACTAGACTTGATATCTCTATGCAGCACACATTGCTCCCATTCTTCGTGGAGGTATAGCAAGGCAGATGCCAAGCCATATGCAATTTTGTACCTGTCTGCCCATGGTAAGACCGTCGTCCTCTTGCCTGCAAAAATATGGGAGTCAAGACTTCCATTAGGCATAAATTCATAAACAAGAAGCAATTCCTCTTTCTCATGGCACCAACCAAGAAGTTGAACCAAATTTTTATGCCTCAGACGACTGATAACCTTCACCTCTGATACATACTCCTTTTCCCCTTGTTTAGACCCCTTTGATATCTTCTTGACTGCAATAATCCGGCTTATATCAGACAAAAAACCTTTATACACGCCTCCAAATCCTCCCTGCCCTAACTTCCCTTCCTCGAGAAAGTTGCTAGTGGCACGAATAAGTTCATTGTAAGTGAACCTCCTTGGCCCAGTATCCTGGTCAAAATTCATGTTGTCGTTACTTCGCCTTGATCTCCTCCGCCACCACATAAACACAACTGAGACTAATGCAATTATTAAGACACTGATTCCTGCTACAAGGCCACCAATCATTGCTGCTTTGCTATTACTCTGGCTGCTTGTCACAGCTGTGTGATTTTGCCATGGTACACTGATATCTGTATCTTCTAAGGTTGAGTTGAAGTCCCAAGAAAGGATGCTATGAAGTTCAACACTTGTACCAGTTGAAGCCGTGAACCCAACTCTGACTGTTTCTGGAAGAATGGAGCTTAAGTCAATGATATGCGAAAGGCTAGATTCCCCATTAAACACGGGATGATCATCATAAGTTAGGAAAACACTCAAATTCTTAGTTAAAGAATCATATGTTATCCAAGAATTTGCTGTAGACCTATTTTTCAGTCCCCCATCCACTGTAACATTAACCTCGGAAACTACAGAAGTATCATCAATTCCCAAATGATCACCAATCGGATCATACCAATTCTTGAAGGTGTCAAATTCGACAGCAACAAATCGATATTTACTGGTAACATTGACAGCCACAACCAAACCAAGACACCTACCAAATGAATTCTCTGGAGCATACTCTGTAGAATCATCAAAAGGCGCTATGAAAAAAGTCATACCATCACCAAAATAATTAGTATTGCCTGCTGGTTTGATTTGGAATGAAAAGTGGGTGGTAAAGTCTGTTTTCTTGCTGGTTTTTTTATCCCAAAGACGGACAGGTTGATTATAGGATGCTCGTCCTGCACTTGCTTCAACAGTAGAACCCCTTGTACTCTTCGTCAATTGAATCACCCCATCTTCAAAATGTGTATCATTCTTGCAGGTAATATTCAGAGAACTATCTTGGTCGAAACTAGTGAAGTTAAAGAAAAGTGATTCAACATGGTTTAGGAAAAAAAGCAAGAAAACAAAAAATTGAAACACAAACTTCATACTATAACAGTGAATGATTGACAATGCAGAAAGACTGGGCTACAAAATTCTAAACAGAAGAATTACAAGGCTGCATTGCAAATTATTTGTACCATTAATAAGGTGAACAAAGCTTAAATCTACTATTAAACTCTGGCTTATTAATTTAATCAACCTTATTAATGTAATTTACTTGTAATTTCTGCAGCTGCAACTTATTGACCACGTGTCAATTCGTTTATATTATTACAAATAGTCTTCATTATTGGTCCTATAAAATTATAAATCAGCAAAAAAGGACAATAATGACAGAAGATTATATGGCTGGTGGTATTAACTAATGCAGTATAAAGACTTGAGCACTTGCCAAATTGATGACTTAAAATTTTCCTATGGGCGGCCGAATTGAAAAGATAGAATACTCTCATTGTTTATTTCCTATGGGCACCAATAACTAGTTATACCGATCGCCTCTATTATATATGAAATTACAAAAATACCCTTACTTAAATGTGATAATTAACTAATATTGGCTCTTAGATAAATTGATATTATGTATCATGAAGATCAACTTGTATTTTTCTCTAGATATTGGATCTCGTAAAACTTATGCCTAACCATGTATAAGATGAACTAAAACTGGCCAAGAAGCATATCTGCCAGGTTTTACTTTGGTAGTCAGAAGAACCAGGCATATGACGCTGCATGAGTTGACACAATCAGATTGATCTTAGCAAACGATTAAGCATATGAAAAGCAAGTTATTGCTAAAGCTTTATCCACTTTCTGCTTCACATGCCTCGGTTTCCCTGACGCTCAAATCCAATACATCTACTGCTGCCACCAATACTGCAGTCTGCAGGAATTGTAAAATTCGGAGTAAAACCAGCTTCATATGATCCCAGAATACCCAAAGTACATATTAATGACCTTAAATACTTAGTAAGATCTAATATTT